CTGCTAATCAACAAACCCATTGGAAGGCACTGGCAGAAACCAGGCTGATGACAATTGCCAGCATTGTTCTGAGCACAGTGTGCTGCATAGGGCACACTCACAAACTATCCACTCCAGTCAGGGCTGCCATATTCTAACTGAGAACCGTTGTTTGAAGATGTGCTGCATGTTCAACCCAGAGCTGGAAAACAGGCAGTGGTATGGACAGTCTCCAATTAGGCATAAGATTTTAATCTACTTTGCAGAACTAATCGAATGGTTGTGCTTCCCCAGTGTTCATGTGAATTGCACCCTAGCTGGAGGTTAACGGACTAAACAATAGCAGCAGCAATTAAGTGGATGTAAATGAATGTGATAGGCTAATTCTCACAAGGAGAACGTCAATGTGTCAGTGTCAATGCAGGGGTGCCTAGGATAAAGGATGAATTGACTGGGACACAGAAAGAAGGAGCAGCAACCTTGTGAGAGCATGCATGCCTCGACTAAACTAGCTCGGAAATCCTTTGGATATAAGCAGGAGGGATAAAAATAAGTAACGACCACAGTTCTCGTCTACACATCCTCCTGTGGGAGGGAAAGAAAGAAAACACCATACTTTCCCATAAACATGTTCACACTATTATTCCTCATAGTGTGGCTTGACCATGAAATAGATTGCTGGATCTGGAACAAGGCAAAGCACAAATCTACTAGCAATAAGGAGAAGGACATTTTCATGACTGGGGAAGCTGAGACCTTAAAAGAGGACAAGCTTTCCTGGTCTTTTTCATATTTGGAAATGGGTCTAGCTAGCAGAGTTAGAAAGCTGCAGAAGTTTATTGCTGGCAGGTTTCAGCAGAGCCTGGGAGACAGAGATTGTGGAGCAATAAGAAAATGGAGTTTTCTTTAAGTTCTGATCTTTTGTACTTTGGGTTTTGAGGGGAGGGGGAATTCCAGCATTAAAATGTGGTATAGGACTTGAAGAAAATGGGAAATCTTAAGAGTCACTTGACTTGTGGGTCTAGAAAATTCTGTTTAGCATCCACAGGCATTATTTAAAGGCAGTCCAACCTGTTTGAAAGAATATTGCTCTATGAATGCAATGTGTTCAGCCAGACATAACCTTCTGCCCTTGAAACATCTCTCAGCTACTCTGAAATAAAGAGAAGAGGGAGGAAGCTCTATGCCAAAACTTCTGGCCACGAAGGAGCCAAAATCTGCCTTTCTTACTTAGATACTCACAGTAAACATCAGTGGGTATATGAGCTCACTAGCATGTGATAGATATGATAAGGCCTAGTTCCTAACGTAATGCATGTGATCAAGGAGAGAAAACCAGCTGCATAAAAGAAGAAAGACTATTACAATACCACTTATGAATTAATAGTCTTTTATCAAAAATTAGTTTCCTAATAGGCAACTAAAGCATCGGAACAAACCAAAGCAAATTGATCATGATTGGTAGATTGAGGGAATAAAAATAAATTTTTTTATTGATTACCCAGAAAAGGAAGGCAGATAAAAACAACTCAGGAAGCCGTCTCCAGGGTATGGCCATAAGATCTAGAAAAACAGATCAGGCTTAGAAAGAATATGATACCAGGAATCATCCAAGGTACTTGCTACCACACAAACATGCTATACAAAGCCATTAAAACAGAGCTACCCAGATGTGCTGTTTAACCTTCATGTGGGTCCTGAACAGCTGGAATGGAGACTATCCAAAAAGCTGTTGCCTGTAAGTGGAATGTGTTCTTCTAGCTGGGATGCCTGGTCTGGCCTCAGTGGGAGAGGAAGTACCTAGCCTCAGAGTGCCAGGGTGGGGGAGATACCCAGTGCGTCTCCCACTTGCTCAGAGGAGAAGAGGGGACATAGGGGGAAGGATTGTGAGAGGAGTGACCAGGAGTTGGGCAGTAAGCCTGATATAAAGTAAATAAGTAAAAAAAAAAATAATAAAAAAGCAAAGCTACTCATGAAGTAAACGTGTGTGTGTGTATATAGGTAAAAAAAATTTTTAAAGTTACTCATCATATATATATTCCTACTAATTTTTGAAGCTATTTAATAGAAATCTTTGTTTTTATATCTACCAGGACTACACCTATGACTTGGGTTGCTTATATAAATAAACTGTACCAGAAAAAACTTGAACAACTGAATCCATAGGAAGCAATAGTAAACTTAAGGCCAGTTCACTTAGTTAAGCAGCTGAATTTACTCAGCCTCTTTGACCTGCCCCTTTAGAGGGAAAACTACAGAGAGGTGAAAAGGGTGTAAATGACATCTTACTTGGCAGGTGTAGAAAGCTTTGGAAACATTGCAAATTAGCTCTTTGTTTCTATCAAATCAGGGAACAAACAACAGTGGATGGCAAAGGTTGAGAGACCATGCTTCAGTGACTTACACGGTACCAGGAGGTTTGGAGGCACAAAATCTTTAAAGCTGCAATGTAGCAACCTAGGATCAATCAGATTTGAATGCAAATTTGAAGACACATATAAGAACTGCATATGAGCATGCAAGAAGCAAGAAAGCAAAGTGGATGTGAAGCAAAAAGTTGAAGCAGTCAAGAAATCATTGGCCAGTGAGTTAAGCATGTGAGGACAATGTAGCAAATATCTGAACAGTCCTTATGATGGGAACAAATGCACAAACAACAAAGCACAGGTGCTAGGGCCTCATAAAACCAACAGCATGCAACAGCATTTGTAAGAAAGAAAGGCAAGAGTGTGGCATGAGTTTGACAGAGCAAGACAGAGAACTGGCTTCATGTGAATGGAGAAGTGATGTCTTAAGCATACATTTCAATGTGCTTTGCTGTTACTTACATGTGGAAGATCATTGCAGAAAGAATATATTCTTCTGTGTGTGTAGGAATTTAGATAAGAATGTACTAGTGTCCTGCTGCAGTCAGCAGGTAAGAGCAAGACTACCTTTATATATATATTACCTCACCCTGGCACTTCAAGTCTCTGCAAGGCTAGATGCTTACTCTCCCACTGAAGCCAGACCAAGCAGCCCAGCTAGAAGAACATGTGTGTGTGTATATGTGTATATGTATATGTATATGTATATGTATATGTATATGTATATACCAGCACAAGAGATCTTTTCAAAATTTTGAAAATAATAGAGTTTGATGTATAATTATTTTTAAATTACTTACTCTTGTTAAGCAATAACAAACAGGGCTACTCTTCACTTTCGATTAGTTCCCTAGCTCCTGAGTTTTCCTAGCACCTTCAGAGTACACAGGGATTAGATGAAAAGAAAGATGTATTCTGATGGTACTGAGAAAGAGGTGTGGCTTGTTTCCCTGGAGGAATGAAGTCTAGACATAGACACAGATCAGGCTCACCACATAGGAGTTCTTAAAAGAAAAAAAAAGGTGGGAATCTTGTGTGGTGAACTTCATATGCACAAGCAGTTTACGTAGGACACAACTTACTGGACACAACACATTGTATTGATTAATTCATGCGCTATCAAGACCATTTTTGCTGATCTCCCATCAACCCAAAACTGTCTTTATGGAATTATTGTTATTTAAAAGTTATTTTTGGTATTGGAAATGTTATTGTGGCAAAGTGGCAAAAGTGAATCAAACACACGCACACATATATACATATATATATTTCAAATTCCAACTCCAGACGTAACACATAGAGGGTGAAATAAAGAAGAGGAAAAGAAGAATAAGAGGGAGATGAATGACATGGGCTGTGGTGACACACAGCTACAGTGCCAGCACTTGTGGGGAGGAAGCAGAAGGATTGTGAGTTCAAGGCCAGCCTCAGCTACAAAGTGAGACCATGTCTCAAAAAGACAAAGAGTAAAGCAAAGTGAAAGGACAAAAACAAATGGGCAAAATCCCAGAAAGAATCACAGATAAAGTGTGGGGGAAGAGGAAAGGGGGAAGGGCCTAAGGACCTTGGATAAATTCTAAATCAAGTTAGTAAAGTAATCTATTGGTGCCCATCACTGCCAGAGCCTGATTTTGTGTGTCTTGTCATTCTATTTTCTTCCTTGTTGTTTTGAGGTAGAGTCTCTCTGTGAACCTGGGGCTCAGCATGGCCATCCAGCCAGACTCCAGGACGCTCCTGTAGCTTGCCTCTCTAGCAGTGTTAGTACATGTGTGAGCCACAGCTTTTTTTCATGGGTGCTATGGGTCTGAAAACAGCCTCTCAAGAGTGAACATTTCCTCACTGGAATCTGGTTTTAAAAATGTTTTGAAACTGTTTTGAGATATGGAAGAAAATGGTTGTAATCACCTAATAATGTCAATAAATTATAATATGTACATATTCAAAAGTGTGCACATATCCTGTCTACCTTTGTGTATTTGAGGGAAATCAATCAAATTGGAAGCACTTTGACCATCAATATCAATCAATAGTCTATGTGATCTTTGTTCTATACTCAAAAACAAATAATCACAAAATTATTTAATAGATGATTGGACATTTTCATTTTCTTTATTCCTTATGCACACATTATTTTTTTCTGGAAGCATAATGCATAAAGTAGCTTATGTTGAACTTGAACTACTTCACTTCAGTGCATGTTTTTTCTGTCTGTTGTAAGCTAGCATGTTTGTTTGCTATAAGTCAAAAAAGATAATAGAGATGTGTCATTCAGCACAAGTTTGTATGTGTGTCCCAAGGGTGCTGCCCAGTGGACAGGTAGTCATATATTCATCAGATGCATACTGTCCTCAGCCTATTGTCCAGGGTGGCAGAAGATACCTTTGCCTCTTCTAGAGTACTGGTTAATTTTTGTCAAATTCAAACAAACTAGAATCATCTAGGAAGATGAATATTCACTGATGGAAAACCTCCATCAGATTGGCTTGTGGGTATGGATCTGGGGGCATTAATTATTTGATTTATGTGAGAGAGCACAACCTATGAGGGATACTATTCCTGGGCATGCAGTCTGTTTAAGAAAGCAAGCAGATCAAACCATAGAAAGCAAGCCAATAACAGCATCCTTACCAAATCTGCTTTGTTCTCTGTCTCTAGGTTCCTGTCTTGAGTTCCCTGCTTTGATGTTCTTCAATGATGGACATAATCCATGACTCAAATAAACTTCTCTCCTCCAAATTGCCTTACGTCAGACTTTTATCACATCCACAGAGAACTAGAGTGGGACATCTAGGATACAAAGTGCCCTCTTAGTTCCCAAGGATTCTGCATCAGCTGCCAGCCACCGCGAATAAAAGAGTAATGAAAACTGGAAGTTCCCGTTTTGTGCCCTAGTGAATAAATGATACCAAACATTCTGATTCTCACTGTCATTATTTTCTACTCATGACCTATGGACCATGTTTCCACCCACAGGGAGATACAAACATATTGGATACGAAACAGCTTTTGTGGAATAATCTTGTAAATATACATAGTCATACACAGTAGAATATATAAAACTAATATAGAACTTTAAGTCTACCTCCATGACTTTATTGCAGTGTGCTAATGTGACAGTAGAGGATTTCTTTAAAGATGTAAATATATTATGAATTCAAATAAAAATATTTTTAAGATAACAGGATATTTGTAAGGAAGATGAGTGTTTATTGGTGTGCTGTAGAATTAAAAATGCAGACAGAGTATTTAGTAATGTTGTACTGACAGTGCACACAATCACACACCCTCCCTCTGCAGTTCCTGCCCTTGCCATGATCTTTATTAGCTTTGCCCTGATAATGTGACCTTACAGAGCTCTACCCAGCCTTGACAGCCACATAAAACCCACAAACAAATAGGCGACTGCTGCAGCCTTTTCAGATTTAGGATCCTACTCAAGCTTATGAATCAGATTTTTCTCTGTGTGGACATGACAACTATGGAAAAACTGTAATTTAGGACATATTCTCTTTATCCCTTTATGTAGAATTTCACTTTAATGTGATGCAAATGACAGGAAGAAATACATTCAGTGAATGTTAAAGCCTTCCCATTAAAAATTCTGTATGCATTTTACATTCTAATTCACGTATAGTCAAAAACCCTGATAAAATCACAGCGCTGATTTGACTGCCCCACTTATCGTATTAATGAGGATACTTTATGCCTTTTGAAAATTGGGATACGGTCCATTATGTGATTGTAAAGGATGTGATTGTATCACTTAGATTTGTTATTCAATCCCACCCCTCCCTCCAGTCAGGGTTGTATATGAGAAGATTCATTGGTGAGCCAGGACCCAGGCTGGAAAAGGGTACAGCAAATTAACCCTGCTTCCTTTTAGCTCTGTTTTAGGGTGAGATACACACTCACACAGTATATAAATAAATACTATTTTCTTTCTTAAAAAATATTTTTTCTCCTTTCATAAACACAAAGAAAGCTTGCCAAGGAAGTTGGACAATAGGAAGAGGTAGGCTGGCTGATCTCTCTGGAGGTTTCTGCTCTTTCCTTCCCAGCCAAGGACCCACCGCCATCCATCATGAAGCTCCGACTTCTGCATTGTGAAACCCTTGAACCAGTTTCCACCTTTCCTCTGAAAACCAATGAAAGTTTGGAGAACTGCTGCAGGCCTAGTTTTCTTGATTGGCAGGGGAGGGGAGGAAAGTTGTCACTTTAAAAACGTTTCTCTTCTATTTATCCTTTGTCTTGTCCCATAGTCATCCCTGACTCTGAGAAGCACCCACATTTGACCACCTCTCCTAGAGTTCACGTTCTACGACAGGACCTTCTGCTCCTGATTTATGATCAGAAGTGTCCAAAGTGATGGTGTTTACACAGATGAGCTGTACCTCTGAAGTTGTGCTTAGGTCCATCTCTAGAAAGATGAGTGCCTGACAGTAAGCTATCTAAACACCTCACAGAACATAACAGGACACTGACAACAGTGCTTTCCAACTTCATATGAAAGCCAAGTAGGGGAGTAATGCTTTGACTAGGCAGCTTCCGTAGCTCTAAAGCATCATGTATCTAACTGTCTCTTTAATCACGGCTCCCATTGTTAACTCACAGTCCTCTGAGAGAAACCCAGACATGACATTGTTGTCTGGGCCCCTGTTCTTAGACATTATCCATGTGTTTGTTTGGATTTCTGAGCATTTGTGTATGAGGACTCTCTGTCCCTCTGTCTCTCTCATCTGTCTTTGTCTGTCTGTCTGAACTTCTCTCTTCTTCCTCTTCTCTTCCTTTTTCATTATTATTCTCCTAAATTCCTTTAGAAATAGTATTCTGCTGCCTGGATCCTGAAGGAAATGATGTTGGCCTTGGCAATAAAACAGACTCTGGTATGGAGTCTGTAGAGTTTGGTAAATACCAGCATTCAAGTTCTTGACTTAAATTGTTCTAGTATGTCTTGAAACCCCATGTCTAGGCTTCATCCAAGACTATGTTGTTTGTTTTGTTTTTTCACAACTTAGATAAAAAATACCTTGTCTCTATGCTATACTGAAATATCAAAACCATAGCACTGCAACTCCTGCCTCCTGCCCTTGACCCCATACTCAGCAAGAGATGTAGCTTAGGGAACCATTGCACTTCATGTTTTTTTTTTTAATGGTGCAAAATTATATATTAAAAGAGATCACAGGAAGTCTTTTACGATATAAGGCAGGGTCCCCTTTATTTGAGATTCAAGACCAATAGGAACTTTGTACAATCTTATGGACAGGATTTGCTACATCCTAATGTCTGTAAATCCATTCTGTTCTGCTCAGCACTCTTAATAATCAGCTCTGTTGAACTGTACCTTTTCCATACAACCGCACATTGCATTGTGATACTCCTGCTCTGAAAGGCCCTTTCTGTGTTTTGTTTTGTCTTGTATTCACTCATCCACAGAGTAGTGGGTAGAGAGGGTAGTGTTACCAGCAAACCTAGGGAAGGAAGTATAGCATCTCTAGCACACCCAGGCAAGGGCATATCATGTCCCACAACATGGTGGGTAGAGAGGGTAGCATCACTGGCAAACCCAGGCATGGGCACATTGTGTCATCTTGGCCCCTGCATTTTACATGTATTTCTTTTCTAAAGAAACTCATCTGAGAAATCTTGGCTCTGCCTTTGGAGGAAAATTATTTACCTTCTTTCATGCCTGCTGAAATCCGTCTCCTCATTTCTTTTCTTAATAGAAAACCCCACTTACCTACATCTTCTCAAACCCTATTAGTTAGCTCAATTGGCTAATTGTTACAGTTTTAAGAAAGGCCTAGTCATTTTCTTCCTTTCATTCACTGTGCATCTATTCTATGGATTTCACAATACCACACTTCCCAACCAGCTTACTTTCTCTGGAGCCTTTCAGTTTCTCACTGATGTGCAGCATCACACCAGCCATTCATTTCCTTCCTACACACAGGAAGTGTGGTAAACAGTCCCTCTATAAAGAACAGAGGGGAAAACATTGGTCCTGGAGATTCTGTCTTGGACCAAATGCCCCAGGATAGAAGCAGGTAGAATACTTCATTTTAAAGACTTTTCTCTTCCCTCTTGTCTTTTCTAATTCTTAGTAGTTCCTTAGAAAGAATTTCTCTACATAAGATGAATTTTTCCATTTCTCTCTTGACAATGCTTAGTAAATCAGTGTATGGAATATTACCCATGCAACCCACTCTCTGAGGGGGATTGCTGGCTGAAGCCATGCTGTTTATACACTGCTCTGTGCCCAACTGTGGATAATAACTGAATTGATTTTACCTGAGCAAAGACAAAGGAACCTCAGGCTGCTTTCTGCATTATTACATTCTCAGGTTATTTGGCTTTGAATGGTAAGAGCTCAACTAGAATTCTGGGTCACATTTAGCTTGCTTTATGAAAAACTCTTATTGGGGAACTAATAGTGAATTTTGAAATGTTACTGATGTATCTGTCTACACAAATGTGTATGTCTGTTTGTACGTGTATGTATGTGTACATGTGTATGTCTGTGCATATATATGTGTATGTATGTGTATATACCTATGTGTATGTATGCATGTGTGTATGTGTGTGCACATGTGTGTTGTGTATATTGTGTTTAAGTAAATGAGTCAAATAGCAGGAGCAAGACATTGTTTCTGGTTTCATGAGTTACTTTATTTTTTAAAAATATGCTTTTCATAAAGCATCTTAACTAAGCTAAAGATGAAAACTTGGCTTTCAGATCCTCTGAAGAAATTTGAAGAATACTATTTCTTAATAAATTATAATACAACCTTGAATAAGCCAATCTATACAAAACAGAAGCAATATTGATAATAGCCATTACAAAGAGTCCCAGTTGGTCCCTACTGACTAAGTTACTAAACTTCTGCAATGGCTCCCTTAGAGATGTGTGAGTTACCTCTATTTGAAAGATACAGAAACTGGGACACAAAGAAAGATTAAGGACTTTTTCAAATTAAATAGGTAGTGAATGGTACCTTAGCATTCAAACCAGGGAGCCACAAAACCTTGAGTCCTGTCAAGTTGAGTTTAGAGGCTATGGATCTAGCCCAATATATAGTATACATGAGGCTCTGACTTCTACCATTACCAAATACAAAATTAAAAAAATAGTAAAATGAAAATGTTAGCCTACCTTGTTCAGAGAAAACCTAAGCGTCTATCAGAAAGGTCAGGTCAGCAAGATGTTGTATGAATGCTTTAAAGTAATTCAGGTGAAATGGTATGTATTTATAAGTTATTTAATTTCTCTTACCTATTATGACTTTGAACTACATCATTTCTTTACATTAAAATAACTCAGTTATCTTATTCAATGTGGAAATTTATTGCTTTGAGTTATCTTTAAAAATCTTGACTACAGAACATTTCATGGTGGTTCCTTGAATGACTACCTTCCACCACCATCCACCTCATGAGATCCTGTTCATGCTCATTATCCTTCTGTGATAGTCAGAAAGCTCATGTCTCCTGACATAGACTCTTGAGAGAGCTGGGAAATCAAGCAGAGGTCTTAATGTTTGCCTGTGCTTAAAATGTACATTTGCCACATTTGTATACTATGGCTACACCAACCTAGAGATCAAGCTAGACACACTTTAACCCACTGTCATGATAGGAAATTCTTTTATACATGAACACAAAGACTACATAGAATGTGTCCCAGAACTTTGAAGGGTCAAGGGATATCAGAATTTGTACCCCACATATATTGTCTTTTACTGAAGAGAGATTGTATCTGGGTCATACAGAATTAAGGATAGTGAATGCACTCATTCACACAGGCTTTATTACCACTGGGTTGTGTCATTAAACATGAACTGGTGTTGAGGAATTTTCCATTTATACAACAATATAAATGTTGAAAAACTATGTGGACTATGTGGGGGCTCAACCAAGT